AGGAGGTGGTTACACCCCTTAATCCCCTATAAATAACAACAAACTCAACAGAGTTAAGGATCAGATTTTGGATAATCAGATTAGGGTGGGATCTTTCGAGTCGGTCTGTTGGAACTTCTTGGCAGCAAAAAGAGGATCCTTCATCCTTCGGTTGGAGCTTTGGAGATCGACAACAAGATCTTCTTCATCCTTGGCTTATAACCGACTTTCGGTTAAATCAACTCTTTCATAGAGTTTTAAACTCGTTCAGAGTTCTCCACAACGTCAAATCGTGAGGAGAAGACCGCGTTCCAGTGAAACAAGACATCGGATCGTCAACGAGAAGCAAACTCGACGTGAGCATTCGAGGGAGGCATCTCATCGCCACCGTGAAGAACCCAGATTTAAACAAAAGGGAGAATCCAGATCATTCTCTTCTCTTTTGTAACCAGGAAATCCAATTGTAATTGAGATTAAAGGAATACAAATCAAATTTTCCTTCATTGTCTTTTTTACTGCAAATTTTCCCACAAACAATAACATCACCGACGGGTATAACTCAATTGTGACGGCAACTTCGCTGACGGGAATTCCCGTCAGCGATATAAACATCGCTGACGGGAAACTCCCGTCAGCGTTGTTGCCGTCAGTGATACACGATTTTCCACTAGTGCAAGCTATCTTGATATTCAATATAGTTCGACTAAGATGCGGATGAAGCTTGAACTTGGATCTTGACTTGAATTGCATTGTTTCACTCTACTATTCCGCTAACCTCCATTGGATATGATCGTGTAGGCTCAATTCCATCCAACCTCCGACTCATTGTTTACCTAGAATAAATACAAAAACACAAACACTAACTAAACAATATTAGTTGTAAATTTTTTGTTAAAACATCATCAAAACAACTAGGAATGAGTCAACAAATCATCAACCTTAATTCACATGGATTCTGTAGATTGTTTCTACCCATTTTACTCTTAAATTTATGTATTACTCTATGAAAACACTCAAAAATTCTTTATAATACTTTCTCATAAATTTAATTTTAAATTTTTTTCATTTTGATTTAACTTTCTCATTTTTTTTCTCTTCCCAAAATAAATTCAAGGTATAAAATAAATATGTCCACAATGCACTTAATGTTGTTACAATCTAATGAGATTCAGATAGGATTAGTTATTGTCATTTTTCTACGTTTAATTCAAATTTCTTCATTGATAAGCTTTAATTGTTGTGTCAAGCTTCCAAATCATTGTTTGCCTAATTTTGTTTCTTAAAGGATATCTCCATTATCTTCATATGCAAATATTTTAACCAACAACCTTTGACTATCTCCAATATCTAACTTCTAATTATAACAATTAATCCTGACGCCCTTAAAAATTATCTAGGACAAAATAGGAACAATTGAGAGAGAGAGAGAGAGAGAGAGAGAGAGCAGGAAAAAAAAACATAAACAAAAACAAACATGACACAGGGATGTTCGGAGTAGATGCGGGAACCATTAGTGCAACCTTATAGCGATTCATTGAGGACAAGGAGTATACGTCAGTAGTTCATCGGTTAGAAACAAAGATTCTTTGAAAATGCTTTCTCTATGAAAAGTAGCCTGCTTAAAATCATGCAGCAATAATAAGTTTGAGTTAGAAAGTAGAGAGAAAAGCATGGTCATAAAGAAAACGTACTCAATTGAGCATCCTTCTTTGAAGATATCATAAGGTGTATAACTATTTATACTCAAGTACCCAAAAAAGGGGAAAAAATCCGGTAAATTTGGCTAGAAATAAGGAAATCATATTGTTGGTGTTTTATACTTGTTATTGAATTCGGGTCCACAGGACCAACCCGCTGGATCAGCAGATGGAAACCACTGGGGTCCAACCCAACCCCCAAAAACAGATCCACTCAAGCGAGCGAGTGCATTGCAAAAGACCACTTTTTCAGCCGCTTATAAAGACACTCATGTAGTGCGCACGCTTCAACACTGAGGTGGGCTCCATTATCCCAAGCTCCTACTCTTACAAGTGTCAAGTAGGTAGGTACCATTCATTTAAGAAGACGACCAACTCTTACCCTTAGGGGCCGTTTGGTTGTATGTTTTTACCATGTAAAAGGATGGAAAGTGTAAAAAAGTGGGTCCTAATGTTAGCTTTCATCATTTTCAATTGTTTGTTTGTAGTTGTGAAAATAGTGTAAAGTCATTTCATATGCTGATGTGGCTTGTAAAGTGATTTCATAAAAAAAAGACATGATTTTAGGAGAAAGCTGACATTGAAGTCAGGAAAAAATAATAAAAAATAATTCCAACCAATATGATCATTTGAGTAGGGACCATTTTTTACACTTTTCAAACAAACAATTAAAGTTACATTTACAAACCAAACAAGCAATTTATGATTTCAATGGAATAAAAAACAAAAAAAAATATAAAAGTAAAATTGATGAGGTGGACAACAACTTTTCAAGTTGTGTCATAAATACACAACTTTACCAACAACAACCAAACAACCCCTCAATGGGAAAGTGACGATTACACAATATAGATTCTAAAATCGATAATTTTACTGTACAATAATTTGAATGTGGTTACACGATACTTAAATTTAATTAATGCAAAATTCTAATTGCATCAATAATACTTAAGTGCACTGATATTAATAAAAAGGAAGACATTTGTCATTGTGTCCATTCTAGTTACCTATCTATTACTACACATATATTACAACACATATTACGAAGAAAATGTCTTGTAGATCCAGTACACCGAATACTTGACATGTCAAATGAGAAGAGTTATTGGATCAGTGCAAAAAAAAAAAAAAAAGAAAAAGGGGTCAGATTTAGAAGTTAGCATATTTATTCTAAGGATCGTTCGTTTTTGGTCCATATGTCAGTGTTTATTGGAAAGTTTTCTTATAGTACGTCAATTGTTGTCGGTGTTTATTGAAAGGTTTTCTTATAGTACGTCAATTGCCGATGGTGTATATGAATGATATATGACAGTTGTTTACGGATCTATTATGTTTTCTTTGGAACAATATTAGTGTTATCTATCATAATTAAAGTTTTTTTTCCAACTTTAATTGTCAGACGAATTATCTTATCTGTATCAATGCTATCAAATTTCCATAATTATTCAATCAATATACATCTTCACATTCTCTTATCTCTTTTCTATTTTCCATACTCACAGAATTATTGCCATCTCTCTATTAACAAACTAATTAATATGTTTTTTTTTTAAATTTTTATTTTTTTAGAGCTCTTCATTAGAAGATTGATTAAGGAGGTATGTTAACAAAGTCTATTTTTTAACTGGATTTAGTAAGATTTATTTTAGTGTTTGGGTTTTTTTAGTATTCTAGAATAATGAAAATTATGACTATTTTCTGTATAATTAGAGATGTTATCTTTTAACTTGCCTAAATAGAAATATTAATAAACCATCACTTAAAACCCTCCTCAATCTACACCAAAGTTTTGAATGAAAAATTACCTGTACATATGAAACAAATACTTGAGAGAATGTAGTTTTCTTACATTATGTTCACCAGAGTAAATCTTCGTGTTTTGATGTACTTCACAGTTTCACATATTGGGATATAAATAAATTTTTTCATTGACCAAAAAAAAAACCCTCCTCAATCTTTGTGCTTTTTTAATATTTGGTAAATTATAGAAGATTAATTTACTTCTTTCCTTATGTCCATTTTTTATGTTTGGCAAAATAAGAAATGGTTAATTCTATTACCTTTTCCTCTTTTAACCAGTTGACCGAAGACACCTATGGATTTTCTTTTACAGGCCAACCTAATCGGATTGATATTCTCTATTTTTATTCTCTAATTTACTTCCGCCTCTATTATTGCCAGAACTATCCCGGCCCGGCCCTTTCATTTTCTCTAGTCTTCTGCAAAAATTAAATAACAAGTAACTTATTGTGGGTCTGCCACCTTTGCTTCCCCTTTAAGTACCCTCTCACCCTCCCCCTCTCCTGCTTGCATTCAACCAACCCGCTTCAGAGGTTCTCTCTCTCTCTCTCTCTCTCTCTCTCTCTCTCTCTCTCTAAAAAAATATTCAAACGACACCCTCAGCAGAATGCAAATTACAAAAATGCATGACTCATGCGGTAGTCCACCTCCAGCACTAGCCAAAAAACTCCTGCACATATTCAAGATCATACGGTACGTGCTTAAAAAGTGCTTAACCTCCAAGAACAAGCTGATGATGGACCTCCACCTCCTCCTCAAACGAGGCAAGATCGCCGGAAAATCCCTAGCCAACCTCATCCACTTCCACCATCACCACAACCACCACAGCCCCCGCCCGGGGATCCCCTCGTCCTCCTTCTCTTGCCGATCAATGGACCCAAACCTCTCCTTCTGCAGTCCTCGAGAAGTCGAGTTCAGCTGCAGCAACAGTCCAATACAAAAAAACCGCAACAAAAATTATCCCTATGACTTCGAAGCTTTAACTGCGATCGCAAAGGCTTTCGAGATGCTGAACAGCAACAATAACATAAATGTTGACGAGGTTTCGGACGCAGAGTCTGTCGCTCCTTCGCCCATGATCGCGTTCGGGAAGAGCACTCCATTGACAGTGAGGCAGCTGAGGATCACTGACTCGCCTTTCCCGATGAAAGAGGACGAGGTTAACGATGGAAAGATCGATAAGGAGGCCGATGAATTTATTAAGATGTTTTATAAGCAGTTAAGGATGCAGCAGAGCTTGGCAACTGCCACGCCGGAGTACAAGTTCCGGCGAGGTTGAGTTGGGAAATATGTCTTTGTAGTGAATTTTTTTTGGGGAGTTTCTTTTAGTCCTCTTTTGAAATTAACTTGTGCATTTTTCTTCCTGAAAGAATGTAGTAATGTTACTTCTGAATGAGAAGGATGTTGGGAGTTTTTGTGCAACTCGACTTTAGTTACATATTCTTGTGCATATATGTTTTACTTCTTATTTTGTGCTTATTTAATAATTTTTTATAGTATTATAGATAACATACGTGTCAACGAAAAATCTGACAATATTCCGATTTCTTCCCGCTGTTTGCATGTGGAGCAAAATTAAGGATCCCACGTGTTGTGCATACAAGCCAGATTTGATATATGGGTTAGCCAGACCGCTTTCATGTTGACTCGGTTAATCAAGTATACACTTTATTTTTTGGGAAAATCCTCTTTTAACCCAAAGTTTTATCCCAACTTATTTAAAAACCCATTCACTTTTCAAAACATCAATAGACCCACTATATCACATCCCACTTATTTTTAAACCCAAATGTACAATACACCCATTATTTGTACTGTATTTATCCAAAAAATTTGAAAAATCCTAAACTACCCTTCATCCCCAACTGATCTCTCCCTCTCCCCTCCTCCTCCATCTGAGCTCAGAAGAGATCTCTCCCTCTCCCCTCCTCCTCCTCTTCCCTCCCTTCACTTCCCCTCAACCACTACCACCAACCTCCTCCTCTTCCCTCCCTTCACTTCCCCTCCTCCATCAAGCCCATCAACCTCTGCATCCACTGCCCATATCTCCCCTCGCCGCCACGTCACCCACCACCGTCGACCTTGAAGTAGATGAATAGCCCACCAATGATTTCGACATTGACTCCCTGTAGTTCGCCCATCAACCTGAAGCACTTGTCATTGCCGCCAGTGGACGGAGCTTGAGGAGCACTCGGAGTAATGGCGGAGGTCGAAGACCGCCTGGCTTTGTAAGGAGCTGCTTTCGCATAAGCCGACGACGATGGTGAGGATCCTTGGCGCTCAAAGGAAGTGGGTTCGGCAGAAGGAGGTGGGTTATGTTGTTCTCCATTGCAAGTCAGGTTAGTTCAACTCTTTGCCCACCACCTGTTTGTTGAATTTACGCTTAGTGTTCTCTCTTATCAATATTTGATTTTGATGATTGTTGGTTACTCAAATTCTAATTTATTGTTCTGTCATTCTAAAATCTCATGAACCTACAACTTGCAGCCTGTCCGTGATCGCTTCAAAAATAACGCTGATGCCAAAAAGCTATTGGAAAAAGTGAAGGTAACATTTACTTGATGCTCAATTGCTCGTAAGATATGTACATTCATGAGATATCAACCATGACTTACATAACTATGGTTCCTCTCTGGACATTATGTTTTAAAATTAGAACTATAGTTCTTGCTTGCATTTATGAATAGAATTTTCCTTAGAGTTGATGATTGATGTGAAAATCCTCTCACTTTTTGCAAGCGTACAAAGTTACTAGTTGATTATTCTTACTTGTTGGTGTTGGGAATGGTGACGAGTTTCTTTTTGCAAGCGTACAAAGTTACTAGTTGATTATTCTTACTTGTTGGTGTTGGGAATGGTGACGAGTTGTAACATAAAAATTCTAATTTTCTTATTGCTTGGTGGTCCTACAGATTCTTATTGTTCTTGTGGGTTTTGATAATTCGAAGCATTACGACATCAAAATCGATATTACTTTCATGTATTTTGATTTGGAAATGCACGATAAGTTAGAATTGATATTGCATAAAAGCTTATAGATGATTCCTTTGAAAGTGGTATGAAGCCTCTTATGCTAGCATTTCTCGATATTACTTTCATGTATTTTGCTTTGGAAATGCACGATAAGTTAGAATTGACAGTTAATAAAATTTTCTTATCATGCAATCATTGATTGTGACATTTATTTGTGCAGGAGCGTAGATTGTAACATTTTTATGGTGGGATACATATATTCCATCATCAATGGCACACCTAACGTAACGCACAGCTACCCCTCAATCAGAAACCATTCGTCAATGCACACTAACTTTCCAATCAAATACATGAGAGAATCCCCCACTATTGGCATTCGATCAGATCTTCGCATTGCTGTCACATTGCAACCCAAACGGCAAATCAACTACAGCCTGCAATATGATGTACCAAGTAGTATCCAATGTATCGTGTTGTATGAAATTTTCTATATTATGTATATATAGATGATTTGTGTGCATATTGTATCAAATGCACTATCCAATGTATCATGTTGTATCAAATTTATCAGTGTAACTAGTAGAAATGTATCTAGTAGAAATGTATACAACGTTTCGATAGTGGTGATTTTGGATTATTTCCATTCAATCTTCATGGATTATTTTCATTCAATGTTATGCGCTTGAGTTTAGTGGTTGATAGATATGAATATCTGTAATGAACTGATGCACTGATTGAACTGAAGAAATTTTGATGGTAGGTTGTGTTAACTACAGCCTATTGGGCAATATTATGTGTCGCGTGACCAATTATCCACCTCGACGAGGGGTACTCGCTCAATTTTTAGATTTTGATAAAGTATAGCACTTTATGGGAAAGTATAGCAGCTTATTAATAAAGTATAGCACCTTATTATAAAGTATAGCACCTTATGGCAATAGTATAGCACCTTATCGATAAAATATAGCACCTTATGGTCGCTGAAAATTTAGCAACTTATTGTGATAAGTCAAATCAGTTTTTTTAGGGCAATGCAAACACTCGACGACCTACGTGACGTGTTTATTGACCAATCATCCACCGTGACGGGGGGTCCTCGCGCCATTTTGAAGCTTCTGGGCAAAGTATAGCACCTTATGGGAAAGTATAGCACCTTTTGGCCAAAGTATAGCACTATATTGTAAAGTATAGCACTTTATTGGCAAAGTATAGCACCTTATTGGTAAAGTATAGCACCTTATGCTTTCTGGAAATTCTGCACCTTAAGTGTCTAAAATCAAATCAGTTTTTTTCGCCGTGACGAAACCTCTCGACGACCTACGTGACGTGTTTATTGACCAATCATCCACCGCGACGGGGGGTCCTTGCACAATTTTGAAGCTTCTGGGCAAAGTATAGCACCTTATGGGAAAGTATAGCACCTTTTGGCTAAAGTATAGCACTATATTACAAAGTATAGCACTTTATTGGGAAAGTATAGCACCTTATTGGAAAAGTATAGCACCTTATGCTTTATGCAAATTCTGCACCTTAAGTGTCGTAAACCAAATCAGTTTTTTTCGCCGCGATGAAACCACTCGACGACCTAGGTGATGTATTTATTGACCAATCATCCACCGCGACGGGGGGTCCTCGCGTAATTTTGAAGCTTCTGGGTAAAGTATAGCACATTATGAGAAAGTATAGCACCTTTTGGCCAAAGTATAGCACTATATGGTAAAGTATAGCACTTTATTGACAAAGTATAGCACCTTATTGGCAAAGTATAGCACCTTATGCTTTCTGAAAATTCTGCACCTTAAGTGTGTAAAATCAAATCAGTTTTTTTCGCCGCGACGGTGGATGATTGGTCAATAAACACGTCACGTAGGTCGTCGAGAGGTTTCTTCGCGGCGAAAAAAACTGATTTGATTTTAGACACTTAAGGTGTAGAATTTTTAGAAAGCATAAGGTGCTATCCTTTGCCAATAAGGTGCTATACTTTGCCAATAAAATGTTATACTTTACAATATAGTGCTATACTTTGGCCAAAAGGTGTTATACTTTCCCATAAGGTGCTATACTTTGCCCAGAAGCTTCAAAATTGCGCGAGGACCCCCGTCGCGGTGGATGATTGGTCAATAAACACGTCATCTAGGTTGTCGAGTGGTTTCATCGCGGCGAAAAAAACTGATTTGATTTTAGACACTTAAGGTGCAGAATTTCTAGAAAGCATAAGGTGCTATATTTTGCCAATAAGGGAAAAAAACTGATTTGATTTTAGGCTCTTAAGCTGCAGAATTTTCAGCAAGCATAAGGTGCTATACTTTGGCCAAAAGGTGCTATACTTTCCCATAAGGTGCTATACTTTGCCCAGAAGCTTCAAAATTGCGCGAGGACCCCCCGTCGCGGTGGATGATTGGTCAATAACACGTGACGTAGGTCGTCGAGTGGTTTTATCGCGGCGAAAAAAACTGATTTGATTTTAGGCACTTGAGCTTCAGAATTCCATTATGTATAAGGTGCTATACTTTGCTAATAAGGTGCTATACTTTGTTAATAAAGTGCTATACTTTACAATATAGTGCTATACTTTGGTCAAAAGGTGCTATACTTTCCCATAAGGTGCTATACTTTGCCCAGAAGCTTTAAAATTGTGCAAGGACCCCCCGTCGCGGTGGATGATTGGTCAATAAACACGTCACGTAGGTCGTCGAGAGGTTTCGTCACGGCGAAAAAAACTGATTTGATTTTAGACACTTAAGGTGCAGAATATTTCCAGAAAGCATAAGGTGCTATACTTTACCAATAAGGTGCTATACTTTTCCAATAAAGTGCTATACTTTACAATATAGTGCTATACTTTGGCCAAAAGGTGCTATACTTTCCCATAAGGTGCTATACTTTGCCCAGAAGCTTCAAAATTGCGCGAGGACCCCCCGTCACGGTGGATGATTGGTCAATAAACACGTCACGTAGGTCGTCACGTCACGTAGGTCATCGAGAGGTTTTATCGCGGCGAAAAAACTGATTTGATTTTAGACACTTGGTACAGAACTTCTAGAAAGCATAAGGTGCTATACTTTGCCAATAAGGTGCTATACTTTGCTAATAAAGTGCTATACTTTACAATATAGTGCTATACTTTGGCCAAAAAGGTGCTATACTTTCCCATAATGTGCTATACTTTCCCATAAGGTGCTATACTTTGCCCAGAAGCTTCAAAATTGTGCGAGGACCCCCCGTCACGGTGGATGATTGGTCAATAAACACATCACCTAGGTCGTCGAGTGGTTTCATCGCGGCGAAAAAAACTGATTTGATTTAAGACACTTAAGGTGCAGAATTTGCAGAAAGCATAAGGTACTATACTTTGCCAATAAGGTGCTATACTTTCCCAATAAAGTGCTATACTTTGTAATATAGTGCTATACTTTAGCCAAAATGTGCTATACTTTCCTATAAGGTGC